AAATAAGGTTTTCGTGCTGAAGTTGCCTTCAAGCTTAAAAGAATTTTACTCTCCAAATAATTTGACCTTACTGCTAAAGATTTATATAAGATATGTACTGAGAAAAATAATTACTAGTTCTTTCTGCAGATCAAATTTTTTATGTTGAAAAGGTAACAAAAAAAACAAGCATAGTGTGACGCATGGTATCAGCAAAGAGCTAGTAGATTAAATAGATCTTTACTTAGTGTTATACTCAAACATGCCATAAATGGTACCACTTTAACATCACTTATAAAAATTATTTGTATTTTCTTGTCATTTAATCTTCATCCTCTACGAATTAAATGGGGTAAAGAGTATGAAAAATTGGCTTTTTTTATACCAATCTGTAAACTTGGAAACTAGCAGATTAGCTTGACAGATATTTCTTTATTTGAGATATTTTAGGTTAAAGATGTTGGGTTTTGCATTGACTCTAAAATGTCATTTGGCTTTTGATTGTTTGAAATAAATTCTTTAAGAGAAACTTCATTCATAATGTATTGGCCTCAAAAAACTTCCAAAAAATATACTTGGTACTGTAAAGAGTGTCGAAAGAAAATATAGAACAGGTGTATATACCTTTGTTAAAATTGTTTTAATATATGTTAAAAAACAATTGTTTTTGTCATAAGTTAAAACTTTTACTTGTCATGCATATGTGTATTTTTATTTTGTTTATACTTCTATCGTGTTGTTGCATAACCAGTCTGTTATTATATGTATATATTTGTTCTGTTTGGACCTCTAGCTCAGTGTTTGCTCAATCGTAAGAATTCGGTTTCTATTTGAACTTCTGGTGAGGTGTTGGCTAACCGGTAAGTCGTTATTTGTATGTTTGTGTTTTGTTTTGACATCTAGCGTGATATTGGCTCACCCGTAAGTCATTTTATGTTTGCTTGTGCTCTGTTTTGACCTAAGGTGCGGCCCAGTTAACCAGCCCAACTGGGTCCAAGCTGGGATTGGGTTCGGGCTGGGAATAGTTCTGGGAGCCATATGGGTCCCATATGGTCTGAAAATAATACCGCAAATAAAATCTGGGTTTTTACTGGGATTGGTATGGGGCTTCCGTAAATGGTTTACGGCTGGTTTGAAGGTGGGACGCGTGGTTTAATGGTAGCGTAGTTTAATGGTTTCTAATCAAAGCAGTTTTTTTGGCATCGTTTTTTTTTAAAAGTTTTGATGAAATGAAATTACAAAACTTTTTTAAAATTTCATATGCAGTAACGCGGCTTGATTTAAATTGAATATACACTAGCAATTGGAGTAAATATGCACTGGAACTTCATTTGGTTTTTTTATTGTATTTTTGTGAAAAATATTTACATATAAGTTTTAATTCTATACTTAAAGTGTAAATATGTTAAAATCAACATTTATTATCCATTTAAAAAACGATTTAAAACACAAAAGAAAAATATGACATGCTCTCAAATTTCTTAAATGCCCTGCAATTAAGAAATTTGAGAAATAGAATTTTTGACTGAAATTCAGACTGAGCTAATAATAAGTTAGATTTTTTAACGTCAGAGAAATGTTAACGTTTACTTTTTTTAGATTAGTAAAGTGTTTTATCAAGTTGAAGGCATATTCTGCAATTATGCAATAAACAAATGTTGAAATTTTTTTTAATAGTTTATATGGTTTAGTGTGCTTACAGTGATGGCTTAGTGTGTTTAATTTTAATTTTTCACATATTTCAAAAACTTTTTGAAAAAACTTTGAATTCGTAATGTTTTGAGGGTGACTTTGTAAAAGTATTTATAAATAATATGTAAGTTTTACATACTTATGAAAAAAATTAAAATCATACTTTAATTAAATGTAAGCTTTCACATATTTTATAAGTAATATAATTAATATATTTCTTCTAGTACTATAAAAAATATATTAATTATACTTTAGTGTAAGTAATATATTTTATACTATAGTATAATTAATATATTATTAAACATATAACTTATAGAAAATGTTAAATCTTACATTTATATTATACATTTATAAATGATATCTAAAGTTTATATATAGCAGTGTCACTTAGTAAAACCTTACTAATAGTAATATTATAACTTTACAAAACATAGTGATATAATGTTTTGTAAAATGATAATATTTATCGTTTGAGTTAGTTTTTTAAATATTATAACTTAAGTTTTAGTTTGTAGTATAAGGTTTTAAATGAAAAAAAGTTTAAATACTTTATATTGTGAATTATTTGTAAGTTATAGGAATTAATAATAAAAATGATTTACTGCCCAGTTAACCACAACAACGGTTTCCAGCTAAGATGTAACTGGATTACTGGGACTGAGTTATGGCTGTTGTTTGATCTGGGTATAAGATGGGTCCCATATGGTGCAACGATTGCGGCAAAAATAATGCTCGAAAATATGATAATATCTTTTAAAATGACATTCAGCTTTTAAAATGACATTCACTAACACAGCTTGAATTGGATTGAATATACACTTGCATTTGAAGTGAACGGGAACTTAATTTAGTTCATTTTTAGTATTTTCGTAAAAATAACTATTTACATATCAGTTTTAGTTCTATAATAAAAGTATATATATTTTAATAGCAATCACATTTTGTCTTATATATATATTTATTTATTAAATACATTTTTTAAATTCTTTAAAATATAAAAGTGTAAATAATTTGACAGCAATATTCAGACATTTGTGTAAGAAACAATTTGGCTAATCTAAAAGTGGGAAATGTTGAGTTTTAAGGTTTTAAGATTTTTTTTTATTATTTATCACAGGAAGTTATATAACGACTAGTTCTTAAGATATTTGGAATTTTAATTTTCGGACATTCTGTACTTTATCCCTATACATAAACATTGATTAACATTCAATATTTCAATCACCACTTATGTTTCTATACAAATAAATTTTCTATACTAGGTTCATTCGTAAACATTTATACACATTTAATAAATTAAAGACTGTTGACTAAAGCATATAAATCACTTAAAATCTCTGTGAATATGACTTCCTTTTGTTGACTTTATCTGGTTCATCACGATAAAGCATCCAACAGTAGTCAGCTAACATGTTTTCGTACCAGAATCTTTGGTAACATTTTTCCATCATTTGAATATCTTGGTGGAATCGTTCACCTTGTTCATCACTCACAGCGCCCAAGTTTTCAGGAAAACATGCCAAATTCGAATGCAGAAAATGCATTTTCACTGACATACGATAGCCCACTTTTTGGAACAAATCGAGTGGCTTTTGAATACAATTTTCATATTCACACGAATTCTGATTCCCCAAGAAGTTCTTACAAACCCATACAAACGTTTTCCACGCTTCTTTTTTTTTGGAAGTAAGTGACTTTTCAAATCCATGGTCTTTCAAAACCTCTCGAATTTAGGGTCCAACAAAAGGTTTGAGTTTCGCACCACTAATTTTGGGAAATTTTTCAACCAAGTATTAAAAACCCGTTGATTCAGTTTTACCTAACGCTTTTACAAGTTTTTCATCAAACCAAACTTGATTTGAAGCTGTGGCAAAAATATTTTGTCTGGATCAAGCAGCAGAATATGGTGAATGCTGCTTACACCGGGTTCGTATTCAGTTCTCAACATCCAATTACTTTTTACGTAATGTTCTTTCACAGCCTGACTATCCCATAAAAAAAGAAAGCAGCAGAACTTGGTAAACTCTGTTTGCATACCCATTAACATACCAATCAATTTTAAACCACTACAAATGTTCCACTGATGAGTTTTGTAATCAATAGCGTCTAGTAATATTTTCATATTTTCGTGAGTTTCATTCAAGTGTAGGGAATGAGCGATTGTCATACATGGCTTCTGATTGCCAATATCCAACAACACGGCCTTTAAACTCCTCTTGGATGAATCAATGAAGAGGCGCCAATCACGAGGCGAATACGCTTGGGTAAAATTTTCGAATAGACCAGTGACATTACTGCAGTAGCACAAGGGTTCATCGATGATGAAAAACCTAGATAAATCGTTGTTGCGCTTTTGAAAGTGGGATAATTTGACACCTACGGCTAACAAATTCTTTTCTTTCAGTCTTGACGCCAAAAGTTCAGCTTTTATCTTGGAAAGGGATAAGTCTCTAACCAAATCATTCAGTTCACCTTGTGTGAAAACTTTAGGCTCTTTGCCGTCAATATCTGGATCAAAGTCAACATCAGCCACATCTTGACGTTCAACATTAACAACACATTTGTCTTCAACAGAGTCTAATCCATCTGCTGGTGGTATTGGAATGAGCAGGGTACTGTCATTCGGGTACACAATTTGGTACTTATTTTTTGAAGAAAATCCAGCAGTATTAACGGCGTAAAAATAGCAGTCATTGTAATGATCTTTTGGTAGATCATTGTAATGATCTTTTGGTAATGATCTTTTGGTACAGTTATTGTAATGATCATCGGTAAAGCATATCGAAAAAAAGACCTTCGTTTTGATCTCCCAAAGGACAACCGAAATACAGCTTGTAAATTTTCGAGATTTCTGGACTGATTTTCTTTTGCTGCCCTGACAAAGTAAATTGCTCACAAATGTAGCAAAAGGCATCTGTTGAGTTTTTGTAATTTCTAGGCATTATGTAAGTTAATTTTATTGAAATAATTACCCTGAAAATAAAGAAACATCAGTATATTTCACACTGAAACTATATATTTGTCCAAAAAACACACATACATTATCTCAAGTTCAGACGCGCTGGAGAAAAACTAAACACATATTTGGAATCAGCGTGAAAAACTGATGGTGCAAATTCATTGTTGAACAGTGTTATTATATAATATCATATAGTCATATATAACATTTATATTTACAAAAGTAAAAAAAATATATCAACATTTTTTGGTAATACATTTTTTATTTATGTTATTTAATTTTATTTTAATTAACTTTGTCAAATTTTAAGTTTTAATTTAACTTTATAAAATTTGCTTAAGAAGTTCAATAGTATCTATGATTTGTTTTTAGAGTTGGTTTGTGTTGATTTATGATTGACAACAGAAAATACATTACTTCAACAAATGTTAGCTTTTTACACATAAAAGTTATGTAAAATCTCCTATGAAATGATTTATCTAAATCTAGTAAGTTTACACTTAATCTGACAGCATTATTTTGTCTTGTTTTTTTCTGAAAGTTCAGTAAAGTTTTACTTTCCCCGAGTTTTAATATCTAAAACTTTTAGTTGACAGAATTTGATAAAATAAATAAAATAATTTCTCTATATTAAAAATATATACAACTTGCAAAATATACACGTTTTTCCTATTATTGACCTGGGCTTCTGTGAATGGATAAATTCTGTGAATAGAAGATGGACAGTGAATTGCTAGGAAATGTGAATGTTTCTATGATAGCACAAATTTTTAGATCAAGAATAGTTTGTTTTACATTATTTTCATTAAAAATTATGAATATACATGAAAAAAAAATTTTTTTTTTAAATTACATTATATAGTAGTGTGACATGGTTTGGAATGAATATAATGAAGGATTTTTCACATAAACTTCATTTGGTACCTCAATAATAGTTTGTTTTTATTTTTATTTTTATTTATCTGTTGATTAGTAGAATAATATTTACCAGTAATGATACTTATATATGGTAAAGCGTGTATGTTATTCATGCAACATGATTATAATATTCAATTTTTTATTAGTTTAATGGCAGCATATATTGTCATCAATACATGCTGCAATTGTCACAATTTAGTTTAACAAAGTTTAAAAGTTATCTATGTATAATGATTTTTTAAACCAATTTATTAGGGTGATGTACATTTTTTAGATTCTGCTGTGAAATAAATTTAATATAAAATCACAAAATGTAGCTAAAAAACAACATGAAATTAAACAATAAATTTTGGTCTACGATAATTGAAATACGTTTGACTAATCATTTTGGTCTACGATAATTGAAATACGTTTGACTAATCATGAATAAACTATTATATAAACAAATTTGATAAGGAATTTAAAGACAAATTCAAAAAAAATAATGCATGGGTCGACTGTAAAACCTAAGTGCTAATCAAGCAAAAAAAATATATAAAAGCATTTGAAGTAGTTATTGAAGGCGGTTAAAAGCAAAAAAGAATACTCTATCAGGTTCTGAAAGTAATTCAGTACCACCTCAGTTTCTCTATCTCGATTGGCTAAATACCTTTATTAAACATCGTGAAACAACTTTCAATATTTTATCACCTTCTGATTCCAAATTAGAAGCAATAAGTTTGGAGGAAAATGTTGACATGGTATGTGAGCAAGATAAAATTATTCATCGTCAATTAAATGAACTAAATACTAACTTACCTGAAGATGAAATTGAAGAATAATGCGAGTAGATTTACGTGACAAATCTACTCGCATAAAAGCCAAGATTGCTTTTATGCGAGTAGATTTAAGTAACAAAGTTAGAAAAAAAAGAAAAAAATCAGATTCCGATGACTTATTTGATAAAACATTGGTAAAAATATTAGAAAACATTAATTCCAATATGATAACATCAAATGAGGCAGATCAAGATGAAGATTATTTATGATTAATATAAACACTTGTTCATTATTGTAAATTTTGATTGTGAAAATAATTCTAATACAAAATTTATTATGGTCAAAACTACAATTGTTTTTAATTTTTTTCAATATGCTTAAATTGTAACAAATAATAATAATTAACTTGAGTCAAGACTTTAAATTTTAAATGGTAACATAGTAGTCATGTTATATTAATGTTGTTTACAAGTCTATTTATGTCATGCCTAATTAATAATATTAAACCTTTACCGTAAAATAACATTGCTTTAGATTCCCTGCAGAATGCCTGTTAAAAAGAAAAACTGAAGAAATTTCGAAACTAGATAATTGCAACTGAAGAAGTAAAAACACCGATATTCATGGTGTCGTATCGAGGCTTTAGTTCTCCAGTATTTATTTTGGTAATTTTTATTTTATGCTTATTTTGTTTTTGTTATTTTTGTAACAGCAAACTATGAGAATAATTAATTGTCCTACCCTGGGCCTCTACTTCAATCTGGCTATGGTTATCTTGGTTATAACACGTATATCGATTTATATACTGTATTGAGTAAGTTTGTGATTTGTATGTGTGTTTTTATTGCTTAGTGTTTGTTAGTTATATGCAAGATATAGCATGGTACGATACACTGCATGGTATGCCTTAAACAATATTATCAATAAATATTTTTATTTATCCTTTGTAAATATATATGCTAGAAATTACTATATTATTCAAACGTTTATTTTTAATTTATAAAATTAGTGTAAAAGTGGATGAAAGCACAAAAGAAGCGAAACGATAAACTTTAAAGCAGAGTTTTGTCATGCGATTATGTTAGTGATATGAGGCAGAAAATTACTATCTTAGAACAGTTTTGCATCAAATCATTGTTTAATATTAGTTTTTTGTTGCTTAAAAATATTATGAAATCTGTTTTTTCAATTGATTTGTAAAAATTATGTCATACCAAATATTCATTTGCCTTATAAATTTTGTTACCCTGACAGCAAATTTATTATAGATAATATAAATATCCTTTAATTTTAAATTATATATAAAAAAATGTGACAATTTTTTTAAATCAAAAAATTTTTCATATTTTTCGCAGATTTAGGATACAAAAAAATCTGCGAAAAACAAACTATAAAGAATTAAGAAAACCCGCGTTAAATGAAAAAAATATCTGGGTTCAATATGGGATTTTCCGTCAAAAACCCAGACTAATCCCAGATGGGACCCAGTTGGATCCCAATGACAGAATCGCAATGGGACCGATGTCGAATACTCAGATGGGTCCCAGCATTTTCCCCAGTTGGGTCCCAGCTGGGACCCAGTTGGAATGGTCAACGGGGGGTGTTGACATACCCGTCACTTATTTTCAAACGGGGGGTGTTGACATACCCGTCACTCATTTCCAAAACAAAACACAAACATGTATGTTTGTGTTTTGTTTTGGAAATAGGATTTTACTTTCGTTTCGCGTACTTATATATGTGCACTTAAAGCACTTGCTGCAACTGCCCCATTGTTTCGCCGCCACTGGCCTAAAGAAATAGAGAATATTATTTGTTTTATATACTTTTGATAAAATTATAAATGTCATTTTATTATAAATAAATTACATGGGATTGCATTCGAAAGTCCGAAAAAAAGAACCTCAAGGGACAACGATAATTGATTTGCTTTATGACAGCAACTTCTAAGCAACAATTACTTTACAGTTTAATACTGATTATAGTTTGTAATTTTAATTATAATATAAAACTTTTTTTTTTTAATTTTGTTGGGATTAGGCAGAACAATCTATTTTTCAGGCTGAAGAGATTTTACTTGACTTTGTAGAACAAATTTAGCGTAATATTACATTCAATATTACAATCTATGAAAATATGGATAATGGAATCAAGGAATTCAATTAACACACTAAAATTATTACACAGTTCACAAACTAGCCAATAAATAAATAAAAAAGACTAAACAAATCAAAATTGATTTCTAATAATATTTAAACATTCTATATTTGGCCTAAAACTTTCCACAGTTTAATATATATTCCGCATACTTATAATATATGTGGAATAAATGTTATAAATATAAAATATTTTCCACAGTATAACAATAAAGTAATCAAAATTACTAACTATAACAATTTGAATTAGAACATTGCAACAACATTTATAAAGCTTTTAGTAAACGGTATGAGGATTAACGATATTCTGTTTTTGCTTTAAGAAAATGCCTAATATTAAGGAATTTTTTAATCTCTATTTTGAAGTTACAAAACAGTGATGATGAACTGCAGAAACTCTACTAAAAAAATAGAACAAAATTATTGTTGAAAACATTATTTACACATTGGTATCTTACGTATTATGTTATTGTGAAAAATAAAAGAAGAATTTCGTGAGTTTTTGCGACCTATGAACAACCCTAAAGATAAAAGTTGACAACGTTAAAAATATGTTTTATTTTAAAACATGTTTCTTGGCCTATAGTGTCTGTTTAAAAGTAGTGCGTTACAGTAAAGAAACTAATAATTATTTGTAACATTAAACGCCAACGAAAAGGTAAGCCAAGTTGTTTCTCAAAACAAAACATCACAAAAATAACATCACAATGATAACAAACATAGCACACAAAAAAATTATTTTCATAATGACTTACAATTGAGCAAACACCGCGCAAAAGGTTGAGATGTTAATCTCGGGAACTTTGCTTTGAAAACTGCAGGAATAAATCCCAACAAGTGATCTCGTTCTTACATTTTGATTAAACAATTTAACTATGAATACATATCTATTCACTTTAAAAAGTAATATATGGTTGTTTTTTATGCAATGTTGCATATAAAAGCAATCATTTCAAAGGTGTAATTATTTCTTAATTTTATTATACATATCATGGTTTGATTATGCATTTCTTCCTTTGAATTTTTCCTATCACTAACTGTTGCAATCAAACATAGTAAAAGTTTTTTCCAAAATACCAAACTCTAAACCTGTTAATGTTCCCCTTTTTTTTTATACACGCTAATGTTTGCATATCTAAATGGAGAACTTGTCTTTAATTACCAATCTGACACTTCTAAACAAAGATTATATGTTTCTTCGCGTAAATTATTCATTTTTATGTATATTTTCTCACTTTCTGGATTTTCAATTGCTGTTGTTGAATTTATTTGTGCACACTGTTTTGATGAATTATCAAATTAAAATTAATGTTTTCGCTAAGTTGTTGCTTCGTGTTGGTACAAGACACTAACATCCTCTACTACAGTCAACACATTGTCAGTATTTATTTGTTCACTGCTATCGACATGAGATTGAGATTTATTGCGAAAACTTTTTTGTACACGTTTATCCGAAATAATCAAGCGTTTAAAGTAAGACAAGACCTTTCCTACTCTTACACCGATAACAAAGTCTTATGAAAATTTAAAAAATTTGAAAATTTAATTATATAATCTTCTGGAGGTTTATAGCAAATGGAAATTATAATATTTTTTGAATTTATTTCCCGTTATCTCAATAATATTCAGATAACGGGAAATAAATTCAAAAAATATTATAATTTCCATTTGCTATAAACTTCCAGAAGATTATATAATTAAATTTTCAAATTTTTTAAATGAAATTTTCCTCAAAATAAATGACAAAAGTAAAAAAAAAATTTGTGTAGGGGGTTTAAATATAAACTGTTTTAACTACAAAAAAAATGAGATTACTAAACTATTTTTTGATAGCATGTTTCAATAATGTATCCTTCTAATCATCAAAAAAACTACCCGGGAAACCCCAACCTCCTTGTCTGCAATAGACAACAAATTAACAAACTCGTTTTCAAAAACCTTTTTAAAAACAGGAATTATCAAAACCGATACATCAGATCATTTCCCTACTTAATTCTCATTATCTCAAGATTTAAAAACATATATAACATATATAAACCAAAATATATAAAAGAAAAATCAATCAACATACAATAAAAAATTGGAAAAACTCGGTATCGATTTTAAATTGGGATGGAGTGTATCTAGAATGTAACCTTGGATACATTTAAAAGTAATTATTTTTTTTATTACATAAATTATATTATATTATTAAATTTAATTACTTAAATAATTACGTAACTGTTACTTGAAAAAGTAATTTGTTTTTACGAGTAAAAATAAATAACTTTAAAAGTCGTTTACTTTTTCTTGAAAAAGTAAAATACTTTTTCAGGTAAGTCCTTAAAAAGTAATTTACTTTGAAAAGTAATTTCGATTTAACTTATTCGCGAAACTTACATTGAAAAGTAATTTACTTTTTATTTCAAAAAAAGTTCTTTTCTGAGATAACGTTATATAAATGTATTCTTTGAAAAATGTAACACTTACATTAAAAAGTAAAATAGAAGTACATCCTAAAAATAAAGTAGTTACATATGTAAAATTAACTAATTAGCAAAGGCAACTTACATAAAAGTAACTTAAAAAGAAAAAAGATTTACTAGAAATAAAAGTAAAGTTTTTCTTTCAAATACTTATTTTACTTAGTAAGTAAGCAAAATGTAAAATTATATTATTTACTTCTTCAAAAAACAAAGCCATTTTACTAACAATTTTTTTAAGGTAGGTAGTTTATTAAAAAGCATTAGCTGATGGGTTATACTACTCGGAATTATTCAGATGTATGTGGGCCGTTTTTGCGGCCCACGTTATGTGGGCCGTTTTTGCGGCCAATGTTAACAGGGTGGACTTTTAAAAGTAGGACAGCGACGGCGAGGGCCCTTGAGCTATATGGAGCAAATATATTTTTTCGTTTAGACCGAAAGTAGATTATTGGTCCCAATTAAACATTTAAATGTGGTCACTTTTAAATTATTTATTGCCCCCAAGAAGTCTGTAAGGTACAGAACCCCGCCTAAAAGCATTTAACATCGCGCCTCTTTTCTAACCGATGTCGCAAAACTCACCCATTTCGTCGTTAACCTTTATGATCAAATATTTATTATGCAATATTTATTTGGTATCGGGGGGGGGGGGGGATGGGGAGATAAACTAAATGCTATAAAACGATATCCGTTAAGGGCGGGTTAACCATAAACTAAAAGATCTGTGCACAACAAATTATGGAGCACACAGCTTTTATTATTACTTGGGGACCTAAGTTACTGAACAGAAGGTTATTGGCAGCAGCCTTCTTTTCAGTTGCTTTGGTGACCTATGCCGCACAAGTAATATTCTAACACATTCGAATAATATTGTCCCTTTAAAATAATTTGTTATTTTTTATAGAATTTCATTTAAAATTTAACGTGAAGATGGGCAATAGACTGTCCGCCATCAGTAGCTTATGTGTCCACAATGGTGTCTTTTCAGTAGCTTATGTTGCTTCAATGATGCTTCTATTATTCTATTCAAGACTAAAATTTTATGAATAGTTCTTTAAAAAAAGTTAGTTTTCATTTAGTAAGAGTTGTTTTTAATAATTGCCATGCTGACTTAAAGATCTTAAAGAAGGACGATGACGATAGACGATTTAAAATAGTCTTTTAAAACAAATGAAAAATTAGGTTTTCACCCTTTTGAAACTAATTTAAACCTAAAAAAAAAACCGTTTCTTTTTTGATACATTTTTAATAACATTTTTTTGCGTTTCCGTTGAATTTTTATAACAACTTTAGAATCACTAGGTAGTATTTTAATGTTTATGATGTATATTGCAGTGTTTTTTTTTTATAAGTATTTTTTAATTACTAGTTATATTATTTTTCAGAGCCTACAAACATTCGATCCCACTGAAAATTGAAGTGTCTCTCGTGAAGCAAATTTAATAATAATCTAATTAGCGGGAAAATCTAGCAACTGTAACGGAAGTATTCTATAAAATTATCAATAATGGCTTCTGATAT